TATTATAATTATATCAGTATATATATGTGAATTTTTATTTTATATTTTATTTTTATAAACAAGGATTTCTTAAAAATTTTTATTATATAAATTAATTTTAATGAGTGGGTTTGAGATTGTATTTTTAATTTGAGTCAAGTTGAAAAAATTTTGAAGTATGAAATATCTAGTAGAGTCAAACTTAAATAAGCATATAAACTATTAATACTCAACATGAACCCGACCCGAACTTGATCAACCTGGCCCACAAACATCTCTAATCTATAACAACTAAAACTCAAAAATTAAATAATAAAATAAACTTTTAATTGAACAATCATTATTGAACTTTAAAAAAATATCAAATATAAATCTAAAATATCAAATTTTAATATAAAAACAAAAAATTAATTCCCATCCAACCCCAATGCCTATGAACATTAATACAAAATTAACACTTCTAAAAATTAGGGCTAATAGCTGGTAACAACAAAAAAACAACAAATTTCACTTATATAATGTCAAATAAAATTAAATAAAAATTCAAATCAAACTCAATATAATTAATAGTGAAAAAAAAAACTCAATATAACTAACAATAATTCACTAAAAAATAAAAATGTCAAATGTCAAACATATTTTGTGATAAAAAATTTGCTAATTGTCTATAGTCTATCTACCAAATACTACTTGAATTAATTACAATATTTATTATAAATATGAAAATAAATCATTATCATTATAAAATTAAAAAATAAAAAAAATTTACTTGCAAGGGATCATTGGGTGCTATGTCAAGTGTCATATATGATGTAATAAATATTAAAAATCAATGATCATTATTAGGTATCCATGTATTTTTTTAATATAATATGGAATTAATAGCACACACGATCCGAAAACTTTGGATCAAATTTTTTATTGATTCCTAAATTTAAAAAGTTCTAATCGAGTACTTAGTTATCCAAACATGTATCAATGTAATTCCTCTATCTGCTGAATCGTTTAAATTGATCGAAAATCCAATGTGGTATGATACAAATCCAGCGTGGCATAACACATACCTTTATAAGCGTGGCATTGCATGTAAGGTTAATATTATGTCCTTAATTTTAAGCAAAAGAATTCTCGACTAAATGAGGATTCAAACAATTGGAGAGACAAACAACAAGCAATCAAAGACAAAAGCAATCAAGCACACATCAAACAATACATAGGGGAAGCAATTCAGCATCAGATTTAAAGCAATTTTGCAACAAATTCAATTGGCCTCCAAAGAGAAAATCCATCAAACCTATACCCAAAAACCCACCAAAAATCACCAATAAAAAAACCACCAACTATTCAATCCACAATCTCCAATATAGTAAAAACCCACAACACCCGCAACCATACCCAAAATCATCCATACTTATAACCCATAAGCAACTACATCTGATAATTGACCATTAGCTAAACTAGTTTGTAAAAAATCAAGAGCTTTAACCCAGAAAACAGAATCAATTAAGATTAAATAAAAGCTAAACATAGAAAGAGAGGCATCACAAAAGAAGGGTCTAGTAATAAAATTTTTCAGAGTTTGGTGGTTCAGTTTAGGTTTTCTAAACAAAAAGAAAAAAAAGAAAGGCTAAATTCATTAAGATTTGCGTTGTAGTTAGGTTTCAATCGATGAAAAGAATAGGGGATTTGAAAAAACTTTCTGGCATAAGCACGGAGACCGACGGTGGTCACTAGCGTGACTGATGGTCAACAATGGAAATGGTGGATAACTTTGTGATGGTAGGCATTGGCTTTTGGGTTAATACTATTAATATTGATTAGATTTGAAAAAGAGGAAATTTAGAAAAAAGTTGGACAAGAAAGGGAAGCTTAGAATGAAAATCATAAACTGTTGATTTTGAAATTTTTAACTCCATATAAATGATGCCATTTGGGCCTGAAGAAAACAGACCACACCCATTCAACCCACGTGAAAAGCCCAAAATACATCTATCCTTGATTATAAGATTAAATGTCATGCCATGCTAGATTTTTTTATCAATTTTAGACAATACAGCAGATGAAGGGACTATATTGTTATACGTTTGGATAGTTGAGCCCTCAATTAAAATTTTTTAAAGTTTAGGGATCAATATAAAATTTCACCCAAAATTTAAGGATTACGTGTGCTATTTACTCTATAATATGAGAAATTTTTTATCTATTGTTAGTGTAATTTTTAGACTATAGGATTTATAGGGTGACACATATCCTTAAGCTATACCTAAAAAATAAAAAAAAATTAATTAAACAAAAAAGGACATGTGTTAATCACTTAATTTCGTTTGTGAAATTAAAAATTTATTCTGACTGTATGTTAAATACTAATTCAAATAATATATATATATATATATATATATACACACATATATACATGATTACACTCATTATTTTTCTTCAATAAAAAAAAAACAAATTTATTCATAATTAGCAAGCAAATTAAATCATAAGAATGCATAACATTTCCAAAAGAGCAAAAAGAAAAAATGATTGGAATCATTTGATGGTGCAAACCCTATTCCCAAAATTAGATTCTCAAATAACAAAGTGGAATAAAATATCATAAAATTATAATTTTTATTAGTCTTCCTTAACATGGTACAACATACTTAATCCCTATAGCATAAGTCAAAATCAAATTATCCCTTTAATTTAGTAGTAAATTATTGATAATTTAATAATCAAATATTGATAGCTTAATAGTAAAATATTGATAACATGGTAATAAATAATGATAATTTAATTGTCAATCATTGATAATTTTTTATACTTGAAGTTGTCAATGATTGAATTTTTGTTAATAGTAGAAACGAAGTTAGAACTTTTGTCTTGGAATATTATAATAAACTTATTGTGAATCTATTCAACAAAAAAATTTTAATTTAAATGAAATAGTAATGTTATTATGTAAAAAGAAAATTCTCTCATAGTAAAATATAACCGCATTTCATTGTTAGATATATGATGACACATATTTTATCAATGATTACTGAAAGTATATCATAAATTATCAAAATTTTATGAAAAGTTATCAAAATTACATAAGGAGCTTACCAAAATTTTATCAAAGATACCAAAATTGTATCAATGGTTATAAAAATTACATTATAAGTTACCAAAATAATATAAAAATTATCAAAATTTTATCAAAAATATCAAAAGTTTATCAAAGATTTTCAAACTTTTAGCAAATGTTACCAAACATATCAAAAGTTATTAAAATTATATCAAAAGTTATTAAATTTTACTTATATTACACTAAAATTAAAACTAGGTTATTAGCATTTATCTTTATTATCATGATATTCAAAAAAATATTTTTTGAATTGAATTTTTAAAAATAAAAATTACACATGCATTAAGCACGTTGATAAACTAATATACATATATATATATATATATATATATATTTAAAAGAGGATAGAGAATTCAATCATCGCATAATTTTCCAAAACAACCCAAGGAACAAAGTCCCAAACTCAACACTCCTTTCATCACAACATAATTTCCTTAATTATTTAAGGTAACAAAAGACAGTTGTAGGAACAGTAAGCTCTTGGGACATCTTTTAACTGGTTTTTATGGTGGTATATATTGGTATAAGTAAAAGCAAAAAGGCAGAGAGTGATGGGATTTTGCGATGTTAATCTCTGGCTTGATTGAAATTAAGACTTAACTGTGGTTTTTTATCAGAGAACTCACCCTAATTTCTAGGCCAACTATTATAGATGTTTGGTCTATGTCTAACACACACTACATATGTTTTTCTTCTCTTTTAAGGTTCTAAACTGGTGTGCTTTAATGGCATTTTTGAAGTTGTGAAAGGTAAATCTATCAATTATCTGTTTTATTTTTTTTATTATTATCCTAAAATGTTGATTTCCCAAGTCTGGCCAGATTGGTATAAACAGAGTGAAGATATTTGAATGAAGATGTAGATTGGTTGTTGCAGCAATTTTTATGGAGATTTTGCTTGGGTTATTAATATGCTATTTTTATATTTAGAAACTTTGAAAAAGAAGTGCAAACGGAGCTTGATCCAAATAAGGTTCACTTGAATGGAGGGTTAGGTTGATTTTGAAGAAATTGAATATAGTGTTGGTGATGAAATTAATTATTATATAATAAAATTAAAATCAATAATAAAAATATGTTTTTAAATATAAATACAATAATAATGATGAAATGAGATTGAATATGATATAATTTACATCTTAAAATTGAAGGAATCACTAGATCTTTCTCCCTTCAATTGAAGATTGGAGGAATAGTGGGATTTTTTGCTCTAAATTGCACCATTTAGGTGCTTCCAACAGTGCAATGGTAGCAAAACCCCTATGATTTTTATAATTTTTTTATCCGGAAGGAAAGAATTAGAATCTGACTTTGAGTAAGAAAAAGACGAACGTACTGCTACAAATAAGCTAAATGCGAATCTCAATATTTTCGAGTTTAAAAAAAAAAAAGAAAAAAAAAACAAATTGTTTAGTTAATCATGATGTTAAGAAGGAAAGGCGCATCAATTGATCTCGACTTTGAGCTGACCACTTCGTGTTTCTTTCTTATGTACCGTTTCATGGGATAAGTGAAGCAATCGGGAACATGTCATATTGTCATTATCGATCAGCAGGCAGCATAAATTTTATTTTATGAATGCTCAGTGCTCAGACCAGATGTTTTGTTTTGTTTTGTTTTTATGAAGTGTTCAGATCGGATGATTTGTATGAACAATTGAATCCAGTCTTGCTGTACTTCATTTTTAACAATTTACAATGTTCCTTTTCGCTTGGGCACTTAGCAGAGTTATGGGCTATTGTTTGCCAGTTTTCCACCAGGGAATGTTCCTTTGCCTTCGCAGAGTTATGGCTTCTGCCAATTAGCACTAGGTCTTCTCTCATTTTGGTACATATAACATACTTGTAAAGAGTAATGCCAAAGTCTTGAGCATCCACAACATTTGAAAAGCCATAACCAAGCTCGAAGCGTGCACAAGATTTAATGAAATCACTTTGTTCCTCGTTAATTCAAAAGTTTCAATAGCAGCTTACAAAATACAGGAATCCAAAGAAACTAAGAAACCAAAAAACAAAAAAGAGATGAGCCAAAGCCGAAATGACAAACAAAAAAGAGAGAGAGAGAGAGAGAGAGAGAGAGAGAAAGATTGATGATTGTCTATTTTCTATGATAATATACAATAATGTAAGGATGTGAGTCTATTTTCTATGATATCGTATGACATTAAGAAGAGATGTACATAAAACTTCACTTAGCCCTGCACCGCAAGGGTCTGTAAGTGATCTATGAAAACTTGTAAGCTCAAATCATCTGTAAATATGATATCTGAACCATCCGTGTAAGTCGAATCCTGAGTAACAGATGGATTTAACTTGGCAAGAAGAAACCTTGCCTGACTGCTATGCTGGTCACATTTAACAAGCTTCGGAGGTGGAACTCGTTCTGCCACCAGTTGCTCTGCATCAAGCTCGGGGGCCTCCAACAACTTTCTCAGATTCTCATGGTTTGGGTCTTTATCATAGCCAAGCTTTCTCCATTGAGCAATCTTGGATCCATAATGAATAACCACATAAAAGTAAGAGTCAAAGAGTAAAATAACATCTGGGGATATAGAGCGAATATCTAAGAGGACTGGAACTGGAGGACCATCAAAAGAATACTGCAGAAGTGACGGTTGTATCATGACAATAGAATCCATAACTCCTTCACGATTCAACATCAGCCGGAAGAATGCAGTCTCATCAGGGGTACTGTTAAAGACATCAAGAAATTGGGACCTTCTTAAATAGTACATGAATTGGGGGAAAAGAGAGAAGTTAGATGAAAGATGAAAAGATGAAGGATCTTCCTGTACATAGTCTCCAAACTTGGAAGCAAAACGGATTAGCGTATCATCCAGCCATCTGATAACATCTCTGGCATGACATGTCTCTGCTCGGTGGATGGCAAGTCTGCCCATAACTGAAGCTGCTGCTTCTTGATCAAACCCAGCAGGAATTTCTGGAGACTGCTTTGCAACCCATCTTCTAGCAGCGGTTGTCACCCTTTTCCGAATTCCCATGTTCCCATGTCTATAACGTGTTATGAATTGTATCATAAATGCAGCTCCAGGTTGAGGTTTATGCTCATCATTTACTTGGAAGAAGAAAGCAATACACGTTTTATTAGTAAGTGTACCCAACTTCCACATACATGTACCACCTTCACCAATTTCATTTTCACTCACCAAATTATTCTTTTTCTGGAGAGAAATGCAAGGTCCAAGGGCTCCACAGATTTTTACATCTTTAGTGGACACTATCTCAATGGTTGCATCAAAATACATCTTCAAATTCCCCCCTTCATCACGACTAAATATATGGCGCATGCATTTTCTGAATCGGTCCAACTCAAAAGACTCCCCTAGAATCATGAATCCACCTGAACTCTCAACAGGTACTTTTAGCTCTGCTAATCCAACTTGATCCAGTGAACAAGCAAACAAGTCAAGAACAACAGATGAATCGCATAGTCTCTGTGATAATCTCTTATAAAAGTTGCAAGATTTTCGATAGTGAGGAGCTTGACCATTTATTAGATCCCTATGATTTCTAATAGCATTACCAAGATCTGAGTCTACAACAATCCCAGGGCCCAGAGTAGCAGGTCCAGATGTGAAGACCATGATCCTGGACCCTGTGTTAACCAAGCATCCTTCCAGAAGTCCAAGTGCAGTTGATATTGCCACTCCAGTTGACCTTTGAGGTCGATGGCCTGGTGTCACCTGCGCAGAAGAATGGAGCTCCTCTATTGCAGATGTTATATTGAACTCACATTCAGATATGGGTAGCAGAAAACTCTGCTTTTGGATAGCATGACTCTTTCCAAGTTTCTGTAGCTTTGTACCACCAATTCCAAGAAATTTTTGTATCTGAGTGCATCAAATGGAACAAAATTAATTATATCACATTAAAACTTAAAAAGTTCCCAGCAAAAGCAGAGTGCTAGGACAGGAGGCTTGCGCAGCTTTAGCAAAAGCACCATTTTGGACTTTCACTCATACGTTCATACCATCAGCTACTCTCTTAAAAATACTCATCTTTCAATTTAGGCAAAAGGGTAAAAAAAAACCATGAACTAAAATTCAAAAATCATCCAAGCCCCCCCCCCCCCCTTTTTTTTGTGATCAATTAAATCCTCAACCATTTATTTTCACTGATTAAGCCTTTCTTAGAGGAAAAATGGTTATCTGTTTTCATCCTATCATGGGCTTAATTGAGTGAAAATAGATGTTTAAGGTTCAATTTGATGAATATAGATGTTTAAAGGTTCAGCTGACTCGAAATAGAAGATTCAGAACTGAATGATTCCAATAAATGATTATTGAATTTTTGTTTGAGGGTTTTTTAGACCCTTATGCCTTCAATTTAATATCCAAATAACAATATGAGAAACTAAAATTTCCCATCTTTCAACTTTATTTGGAAAGAAATTTTGGCCAAAATAAAAACTACATTCTAAACAACCAAATGGCTCTCGCCATTGCTATCAAAATACAGTCACTACCAATAAATCCAACCTATTTCTTTGTCACTCGAGGCTGCCAGGATTCAATCCTGGTGAGTGAAACAGCACTTTACAAACAGGCCATCTTTCAATTTAGCATCCAAATAACAATACAACAAACTAAAATGTCCCATCTTTCAACTCTACATCCAAAAAAAAAAAAAAAAACCACAGCCTTAGGCAAAAAATAATACTATGCATTCAAAGCAATCAAAGGATTCTCTGAATAAGCTAATAATATACAATTCTTGATCGCAACGCATAATTAAGTACAATAACAAACCATTCAAAACCAATAATCCAACAAATCACAGAAAATTGAAGTGTTGAGCTTTTTATAGTTTCCAAACCTCATTACCTGCTCCGAAGAAAGATCCCGATCACCATGAAACACGACAACCTTTGAAAACTCCGAAAATCCAAGGTCATACACATTCACCATTGCATCAAATGTGATCAACCCAACCAACGAGCTCTCCGGCAACTGTTCCACCACGCGCAACAACTCACTCTTAACCACTCTCATCTCCTCTTCCTCCAAACACCCATCAACCACGAACACAAACGCCGCCCCTCTAATCCCCGTCTCTCCTGCTACCGATGTCATCGACGATAATGAAGACGACGATAGCGATGGCCCAATAGGATTACTAACGGCATTAACGGTCTTTGCATATTCAACGGAGCTGTAATTAGGGAAGAGTTCAGCGGGAAGGTTGGATTCGCCGAGGGAAGAAGAGTAAGTTCGGGGGAAAGGGTTTTTGAAGAAACAGAAAGGGCAATACCAGATACGATAGGTGTAATCGACGCGCGCGTATGGGTTTAAAACGGCGCCGCACTTAGAACAAGTGAGAGGGTCGTAAGGGAGGATTGGGAGCTCCGAGAATTCCGTTAACGGAGTACACATGACGGCCAGTGGGATCGTTAATGAGGCGGCATCAGCCTTTGTTGTGGGCCATGAATGCCACGACCATCGAAGGCCTTCGATCGCTTCTAGTTCGTTGAAATCCATTTGAGAAAAATCTTTCTATTTTTATGTGGTTTTTTGCTTTTGTTCTTTTAGCTTGGTGGGAAAGAGTGGGGTTTGCTTGATAGATGAGAAAGTGAGGGAAAATCTAGAGAAAGTGAAAAACCCTGATTGGGGGTTGGGTTTTGGGATTTTGATCGGAAGTTAAAGTTGCTGGCCGGCCGATCAAGTATTTTTCCTTATTCATTTTTTGGGTTTTGGCTTTGCACTTGAGCTTAAGCACGCTCTTTACCCAACCTTTTTTTTTAATTTCTTTTTTTTTCTTTATTATTTCTCCCTTATAACTTTTTTTTCATTTTTAAATTTCTACTTTCATGGAAAAATTGACTCTTTGAAGTTTAAACCTGAACAATTGAACAAACACCTGGACTGCAATTTCTTATGGACACTTGTATTCCAACTCAGCCCAGTAGCCCAACATCCAAGCTTGTATTTCCCACCCAACTTAGTAGCTCAGCTTCCAAGCTTGTATTACTACAGTACTACTATCAGTTTGGGCCACCTTGATGACATTTGTCTAGGCTTATCTTACTATTCCAGAAACTCTTACTCTGTGGCTTTTGCTCTGCGGTTGCTAACAGAACGCGCGCCAAAGCACAAAAAGAAATTTTGCTTTCGAGTGTCTCTAAATGTTTGGTATTTCATATGGAGAGCTCTTCCTCTTGATTGGAGCCGTTGCTGCTCTAGTTGGTAATTCTTCTCTCTCTTTAAATATGCTTACTTTTATATATATTTTTTAGGTTTGTGGGGGTTAATTGGGATTATTGGATTTGAATAAATACTTTCATTGTTGTTAAAAGGAAATCGGTTTGGTGTTTTATCCATTGTAGGACAAAGGATCTCCCTAAAACTGCAAGAACAGCTGGAAGGTTAGCAGGTCGATCAATTGGGTATGTTCAGTTAGCTTGTGGCCAATTCGATAATGTTATGCAACAATCTCAAGCTCGTCAGGTACTTCTTTTTCATTTAACAATTTAACAGAATTGAAGAAAACCCACTTTACCAAATAAATTTTCTGTCTTTATTGCCATTCTTGTTCTTCCTGCCAAGAATTTTTAAGTGCTACAATGTCTAGTGGAAGTATATGTTATATAGAAAATGAACTGTGTATAGTGTACTTTAAATGTGAAGATAGTCGTGATGACAAATTTAGGGAGGTTTTGTGTTTCAACTTGTGATAGTCTGGCATTTTTAGGTTCCCAAGGAGCTTCAAGATACAATGGCACAACTAGATGCAATTTGGCATGAAATAAGAAGTTTATCTCTTATGAATCCTGCTCCTTTGACTAGAAGACTGATGGAAAGTCCTCCAGAGCCTGCTTCTGATAGTAATGGTAGTAGTCCTAGTTTAATTATATGCATTGCTATTTGTTACCTTGTTCTGCTTCATGTTTCGTAACTTCCTCCTGCACCCTTTTCTTTTCTTTTCTGTGTCTGTCTTTTATCTGGTATATTTCCACCTGAGATATGTGAAGAAGACAAGAATTCAGCTGATACTCCGAAGAAGGTTTTGAATCTAATCACTATTATTTATACCCTTTCTTCTTGATTTGTTTGTTTTTATTTATTCATAGAGCATGTCTTCTTTGCAATATCTTGATTCCTTCACATGCATCCTTCTTAGGACTATAATATAAAATCTTTGGCTTCAACAGATTTGCATAGCCAAGCAACTGTCTATGCTAGATTGGCTGAATCTGAAGCTGTTAAAGCTGGTTCAGTGAGGTGCAGTATAGAAGAAGAAAATCTTAATTATGAATTTGGTGATTTCGCCTTTCTTCCAGTTTCAGCTGAAAGTGCTGGATTTCTTCCAGAATTGCCATTAGGTTATAAATCTTAGAAGATTGATTAAATGTTGTTTTGCTTCAATTATGTTTGTTTTCACCTGTGTTTTGAAGGTTACTAGATATTGTTTTGCTGTTTCTGTGTGTCATGTTCTCCTTTGAAGAAGTTTTGGTTGCATATGCTCTTGTAAATTTTTGTCTCGAGCTTCTAAATTGTTAAAAGTACTGTGCTTTTATGTATGCATGTCCATTTGGGGATGTATGTATATAAATATATATGCTTTGATGAAAATGTCTAGATCTTGCATCATATTTTTATTGCTTTACTTATATTTTTAACTCATGATATTAATTTCATGTCAATGTGAAGAAGTCTTAATAATTTTACTCCCACCTCTTATTCCCTCCTTTTCCAATATGGATTCAGTATTTAGCTGGCTCCTAACATAATAGATCTTGACTCTTTTCCAGGAAACAATGTACATTTTTCCCTAGGAATGAAAATAAATATTTTGCATGTCTAATTACTTTTGCAACCTTTTCCTAGTTTGGTGCACCAGCTGATATTTACTTCTTTTAAGAGTTACCTCATACTGATATGTGTTTGCAATCATTTCAAACATAACATTTTACTACTTCTTGCTGATGCATTTTAAGTACATATAGTCATATAAGTAGCTGTTGATTGTGTTGGCAGAAATGCAAAAGGATCAGACGTTGTGTTGGAAGCAGTAGTTGAAGCAGAAGTGGCACATAATGTATTAGCTGGTTCCTAACATAATAGATCTTGACTCTTTTCCAGGAAACAATGTACATTTTTCCCATGGAATGAAAATAAATATTTTGCATGTTTAGTTAACTTTGCAACCTTTTTCTACTTTGGTGAAGCTGCTGATATTTACTTCTTTTAAGAGTTACTTGATGCTAATATGCTTTCTCAATCATTTCATACATAATATTTTAGTACTTATTGCTGATGCATATTAAGTACATATAGTCATATAAGTAGCTGTTGATTGTGTTGGCAGAAAGTGCAAAAGGATCAGACATTGTGTTGGAAGCAGTAGTTGAAGCAGAGATGGCACATAATGCCAAAGATTTCTTTTCTGCCTCAAAATCAAATTCAGTAAATAAGAAGGTATTGCCATTTAGTCTTTGCTACTTTCTGAGCCGTATAATCATGTTTCTTTTGTCTGCCTTGAAACCAAAATGTGAAGTACTGCTTATTCATCCATGCCAATTTGGAGGCCATTTAAGAATCACAAATTAATTTAACTTCTCCAGTGCTCTGTTATACGCTTGGATTGCCTTATGATTTATTTCTTTACTTTTATTTCAAGAAGTTATCTTAACTTTCTAGTTGAACTCTTTGATGTCTACTTTAATATTAGAAATCTCGGCCCGTACCAAGAAGTATATATGTGTGTGTGTGTGTATTTGCTATTGATGTAACATTATTGTTTAGCATTTCACATACATTCGAAAAAAAGCACTCATAAGGGAGGAATGGTTCATGGTGATTGACCTAATGACTTTAATCAGTAATTTCACTAAGCTCTAACAAACTTACCTTTTAGCTTAGACAATCACAACAGTGTTGTTTAATTATATTTATTTATTTGTTTATTCTGGAAGACATTCAAGTTGTTGATTCTGGAGCCATGTGGAGGAAGTTGGAGACTGGAGAGGAAGAGCAGAGCATTTGGAAACATTCAATGATGACGGTAACAATATATTTGCCTGGGAACTGAAGTTCATATCTTTGAACACGAGAGTTTATATATGGTTAAAAAAGTGTTCTTTTATTTCCCTTCGCCATGGATGTTGATAAGGGAAATGACTAATAAGAGTCATTTGGGCATGGGGTTCCTGTCCAATTTGGGCACTATCTTTGAGCGTCGGTTGCTTGGCATGGGGTTTAAGCAAATACCAATTCTTTACTTCTGTTAGAACTTGTGTGTTAAGGATTTTTCCACGCCTTGGATAATTCAATCTCATCGTCTTGTAATTGGACGTTCAGGAAATTTTCTGTGTCATTTGGGCTTAGCCCAAGTGATAAAAGTAGGATGCGTTCCGGTAAAGAATTTAGGTTCGCCTCTTTAATTTTCTGTCATTTTGGTTTAACTAAAGTGATAAGATTAGAATGAGATTTGGGTAAAGGTTTTAAATTCGTATGATACTTTTTCATATGTGATGACAATTTATATTTAATCCCATCTCTTAATTAAAAATCTTCTTGTACTTGTTGGAAATTTTCAATTTCTAAAAATTTTATATTTAAATCATAAAAAAAAAACCTATTTGCCGTATATATATATATATATATATATATATATTTGTGTGTGTATGTGTGCATATATAACAAAAATAACAAAAAAATTTTAAAATTTTATCACTTCATTTAAATAAATTTTTATATTTTTGTTATATTCAAATAAGTTTTTAATCTTTAACATTTAATTTGTATTTAAATAAACTCATAACATAAATCAATATGTCGTTTGAAGTAAAAATTTATGTGGATATAAATCAAAAGATAAGATTTATTTAGATATAATAAAAATAAAGAGATTTATTTTTAAAAAAAGTGAAATAATTTAGATTTTTTTAGTATTATAAAAAGAGAAGGAACAACATTATAGAAATGAGCTAAATGTTACTGATCCCAGAGAAATCTATTGTTAAAACAAACAAAAACCAAGAGGCAGGTGCTGCTGCAAGCCACCATCTCATCATTATAGAGAATTCCACCCACATTCACCAATTAAATTTTTATGTTTTTGATTATCCCAAAAATACAGCATAAACTAATGGTCATGACTGAATGTCCCATCAGCCTGCACATGGCCTTGTTCCCCATCCCTCATGGGTTCCTGAAATTCTAATAAATTTCTACTCGAATATATATATATATAATACATATATATTGAAAATAATGTATATTTAATTTATAATAACAAGATAAAAAATCCATATTAATGCAATAATTAAATTAATAAATGAAGAATATGGAATTACATGGTTTGAAGAATCTTTTTGATTGGGGGAAGAGCGAAAAAACCAAGGGGGGAGGGGAGGAATAATACACATACACAAAACAAACTATGACAGAAAGGATGACCAGACAACAGCAAAAACATGTGATTATTAAGCAAGCCCCATTAGCAATAAACAAGCCAGACAATAGGGTTAAGTTTATTGCTTCATGTCCATCACAAATGTCCCATATCTTTTTGCATATCTATATACCAAATATATTGAAATAAAAATAGACAGACACATTCAAAGAAGCTGCAGCCAGCTAGCCTTTTGCTCTATTCCAGGATCTTATCAAATATATTGAAATAAAAATAGACAGACAGACAGAGAGACACGTCCAAAGAAGCTGCACCAGCTCGTCTTTTGCTCGATTCCAGGATCTAGTTACAGTAACTTGGAAAAGAGCCATGCAGCTGGACAAAGGCTAGGTATATGGTTTAGGTTCTGCTCTTGCATTTCTCCATTGCTCTTGGAGCTGAAATTAGTTTTAACAAAACTATCATTAATTACTATCATGTTGTTAATTGAATCAGGCTAAAGTATATAAGTGAATAATAGATCAACATACCAAGTCCAATTGCTTCTGACCCTTTCATTATGCGCAAGCGTTTGCACGAGTCAACAAACATCCTGTGAGAAAATTAAGCAAAGATCATTGGTAAAATTCACCTTATAGTATGTGTCAGTGCCTGGCATATCCAGCTTTTTTTGGCTGCAAGGGTGAATTGAGCTGGTAAAAGATGTACATGGAGATGGAGGCCTCCAATGAAGACTAGCATATAAGCTTTACGCTTTATATATTTTATTGAAGGGAATTGATATATATAAATATAAATATATATTTATATTTATATAGAACTTACTCCCATGGGACATCACCCACGAGCATCCAGTCGCCATCCTTATCTTCATAGGTTGGCACATAATCAGAAGTGTTGAGAAGATCCATCAACTTGCTCTCATTCATAAAGTCTATCATTCCTTGAGATCCATAATTACCTTCAAAAACAAAAAGAACCATGCATATATGCCAGTCTTACTTGTTTCAGAGGAAAAAACAATACCATGAAATTATTCAGAGTGATGTACTAAAGTAAGACATGCAACCTAAAAACTGTAGCCTCTTGCTATGACAACTCTAAAAAAGTTGCATCATTATTGATCAACTTCAAGGATATTGATATACTGCTGATATCGTGCCTTTTTTTATAGTTTCTTTCAGCCTATAAATCGGAACTTGTCTTCAATACTACAAAAAATTACAGTAACAAGGCAGCTTTTTTTCTCCTTCTGTAGCCTAAAAATACACTTTTTTTTTGGCATGTAACATCACCTAACCAAACATCTTTTCCTTAAAGTCAAAACCCAACTTTTAATTTTTGCCTTTTGTCATTTCAAGCAAAGGGGATATGTTTTTGGATAGGTTATGGACAAAATCACATGGATATGGATCTGTTCAAACTAAATATGGAACTGGCACTTGCATGTTTTTTTCTGGTCTGATAACGAAACAAACTGTATACTTACCCATAGTGAAGGAACTGAACATCTTAGCCAAGGCATCAGATAACTCTTGGTAGCTCTTGTACATCTTCAAATCTACCTTCCGCAGATATGGGGCACCATCCATGCAAACCTTCACAAAAGCTGCACCGCCACTGACACTGCCACTGCTAGCTTTCTCACTTTCCTCACTGCTATTCTTCTGGTTAGCCATAATGTTCTTCCTGTAAGATCGAACTGGTGGCCAACCCACAACTTGTGCCCTGAAAATACAACCCCAAGTTGATATTATTATTAGTATTCTTCTTTAAACAACAAATAATGTTTATTAGTGATACAAAAGAGAACTCTAATATCCTTTATGGAAAAGGAACAGATTATAATATTGTATGATAATGAAGTTTGATAGAAATATCAGAAAGTATAAAGAAATTTATTTCACTTACTTGGCTGGTGGTTTTGCAGGATCTTTGGTGCAAGGAGGGAGGAGGTTTTTTTCTTGTGAACCTTTCTCTATGTTGTTATTCAGATCCATGCCAGTTTCCTTGGACTGAAGATTAAGCTTCAAATCAACAGTCTCAGAGAAGCCTCTTTTCCCAGTAGTCTTTGGAGAACTTTCCACTTCATTTCCACCACCTCCACCAGGCAATCCAAGACACAGCTCAGTCTCTTTGAAGTTCAAACCACGCTCAGTTCCAAGCATGTTGGCCATTTTGCGACTAACTTCCATGGCAGAAATAACCTCTCTTGACCCTTTCTTTATTCTTTCTTTTGGACCTATCTCTTTCTCTTGAGTTTTTCTTGATATAAAGCTTTTGCTTCTGCTTATTCTTCTGTCTGGTTGCTTCTGCTATTATGTTTGCTAACATAGAGAGAGAAGAGAGAAACCCTCAATAATATAAACTGTGGGGTGTGGTGTGTACAGCTGCATGCGTATGTCACATCAGCTTCATGATCTGTGGTTTGCCAACACGTGGAGGGAGATGGCACGTTGGATCCTGAACCAAAGCACTTAGCTTTTCAAACTGACTTTGATTGCATACTAATCGTGATTTGACTCTTAGGTTTGGGTCCTTCGGGAGTCGTCTCCACTCTCCCGTTTCGTCTCTCTAGTCAACTATATTGTTGGGCTAAAAGCCTCCAATCCAATCACACAAGTGGAAGCGAAATCAAACAATAAATTAAACACACAAGAGACAACAATTTAACGTGATTCGATCCAACTGACCTACATCCACGGATAAGAAAAAAGATCCACTAGTTGTAGAGAATTACAAACATACATCATATCATCAATCCCACTCAACAATCAATACTCATAAGACACTCTCAATCTCCTCTAGTCCTATGAAGTATTCTCTACCCAAACAAACACAAACTCAAACTCTTGTGCACCTTTTCAACACAACCAAACACATACCCATATGTTCCCATACATCATACCTATGTGGATCCTCTCAGTCTCCTCTAGTCCACTCACAAATAAACATATACACCCATAAGACGTAGAGCCCCAATACTTCTATGGGGTGTCTATCCCACAAAACCCTACAACTCTCTTATATCTTTTTCTCATATCTAACCTTGTAGAGACTTCACCTATTTATAATTATACAAACTTGCCCATTAAGAATCCCTCTCCTCTTAGAATTCTTCTTCTGTAAGTCAAACTTGCCTATTAAGAATCTTTTTCTTTTAGAATTCTTCTCTTGCAAGTTAAACTTACCTATTAAGAATCCTCTTTCTTTTGGAATTCTTCTTTTGCAAGTCTTCTTGTCCATCAAGCAATATCTGACAAATCCCAAATAAATCTCTAACAAATCTCTTACGGAATTTGAGTCAATATTCCTAACATATATGTCACATACAAACCACTTGAAACATTGGAGGGAGATTGGTGAAAGACCTTTAAACAAGGTGAAAGAAAAAAAAAAAAGGAAAAAGCAATGTATAGGTATAGCCCCTTGTGGACCTAATTAATCACTTACCCTTTCTTTATAATCATTACATCAAGATTATAGCTATTAGGTTACTTTCTTGTAGAAGATAGGGAAGTTCAATGAATCATACGGGAGGTGATGTCTTTGGGACAATATTGTCCTTAGCCTAATATTGGAAAAAAATTATATATAGTAGAATAATTATACTATTTATTTTTAAACAGTTCGCATATATATTATTTATTTAAACAATTTGGTTCGAGTACCTATTTTCTCGTAAATAACACTTAATTGTTATATTAAAATAAAGAGAAAATAATTGTTCAAGAGGAAACAATGAATTGGTTGGAGTAGAAGAAATTTTGATTTTTTTTTGTCAATTTTTAACATCGAAACCTATTTATATTTCATCCCAAACTCAAGTTTTTTATTATATTTTTTTTTATAAAAGATATCATAATTTAAAAATAAAAAACACATTACAAATGCTGAATTTGAACTATGAACTTCTTTAAAATGTTTACATGAACAAGTTAAACTAAACTTATGAATTAAGATTTCTACTATAATTTTACATATATCAATATTCTCTTATTATTTTTTGGAAAACCATTATCAAATGAATACTGTCATCTTGTAGGCGTAATGAGAAGTCACAAAAGTTTAACAAATCACATGCATGGGAAAGGTTTTTCATTTTTTATTCTTTGAGTATTGCCAATTTTTGGCCGTCTTCTATTTCAGCTTCATCAGTTGGGTGTTGGGAGAAGCATATGATTATGAACGACCAAAACTAATTATACTGTATTATATAAATTAAATCAAAATGTGCATATTTTATAATAAAGACACTTCTAAGAACCTCCCAATTATGCATATTCTCACATGAACCAATAATCCATCCCATGCAATGCAACACCCAGTTTTATTAAATACTATATTTCTATCTCATAAAGCGGCAATATGTCTACACAGTACAAATAAATTGTTTTTCTTCAATTTTAACCTTACTTTTTTCAATTCTTTTTCTACTTGATAAATCTCTTAAAAAGAAGTCCATGAATTATTGACTAGAACAATTGAAAAGGACAAAACAAAGTTACTTTGGATCAGCTGTACCTAAAAGACAACTTTCTTGAATTGACACTTGCCCAGCCTTGGGATAACAATTAATGACCCAAAGCTGAAAATGTTTTTTTTTTTTTAAAATTTTCACTACAAAATTTTTCCTTCTAAGATTCTCTACTAAAACAGTATCTTAAAAACAGCTAGCACTACTACTGGGGTTACTGCTGCCAAAACAAAGAGATAATCACTAGGATAATTTGGAAACTAATTTTTTTTTTGGGGGGTCAAATTAGGGTTATCCACGATATTGTATTACCAATTTCCCCTGTAGGACACATTGAATATATATGAGTAGCAATTGCTATCAACATCACTCATTCTAAATTTGAAGGCCATGGTGGTGACTTAGAGGTAGGTCACATGTAACACCGGTACAAATTTTTTTAAAAAAAGGATTATTTTAAATATTTTTATAAGTGGGAAGATTTTTTAATAAAAAAATAAAAAATACATAAGACTTAATAATAATAATAATCCAACTTTTAATAGGATTAATATACACTAGTTGTTTGACCAACAATTGATTGAAATAAAAGAAAAAAGCTTATTTCTCTTCTCTTCTTTATACAGAGCAAACAAATTGAAAGATTTCAATTAAAAGTTAAGAATAAAATCTACAAAGAGATTTGTTTTTTAAATGTGAGTAAAGAATCTCTTTCAATTTTTGAAAAATAATTTTTGATTGTTGAGTTTTAAAATTTAACTTGTAATGGAAAAACTTAAAAACCTTATAAATCCATTATCACTCTTCAAAATTAGTTTGGGTAAATCAATTAGACATTTGGTATAAGAGCCGACTCTGAGTGTATTAATGATGTGTCACCGAAGATGATAGACTTTCGTTAGGGTGATAAAGGATATCATAGCCCTAAAAAACTATGAATCATATATCAACTGTATACTAAAATTGATCTTAAGATATAATTGTTTACACCACATTTAACTTGATAAGTACCTCTTGTAGGTTTAAATTTTTACACATATATCATATATAATAGATCCTTGTAATATCTTGATATGAGATTGAGGAGTTATCACATCCCTAGCAAAAGGAAACATCCCTAACACAAGCTGTGCCCTTGCCTTGTCAACGTTCTCAAACCCATTTTGAATTGTTTCTTTCTAACCTACCTCTATGATATAGACACATGCAATTGTACAAATTATACAATTATCCCCTAGCTATATCATTTTAGCCGTTCCCATCCACATCTTCTTTTAACATTATCCAATTCAACCCCTTCAACAAAAAAAAAACACATACCCTTTTCATGGATTTTCATCTTTTGGACTAGTTGGTAGAGTCAAAATCAATATGAGAATACAAAGAAATTTCTTTACATTAATTTTCTTTTGGAAAAACCAAAAAAAAAATCCAAAATATATACTTCCTTTATTATCTCCTCAAGAAAGTGACTCCCCCACTTTGGATATTCAACTTCTTTTCTTTATTTTTATAATGTAATGTAATGAGGTAAGCTTTTAGAGGAATTTGGGGTGTGGTCCAAATATAAAACTGAGATATTGTGTCAATCTAGATTGTCCTATGGTTCTTTTATTGCTGCCACATAATGCTATGGAAGACACAAAAAAGTAAAAGATCGATATTGTTTTTGCTCCAAAGTTAAACAAGTGATTCCCTTCAACTTTGGACGACTTTGGATACCTGATGGTGTTACCATTACTTGTCCTATGTTTATATCATTCTATCTTCATTTGTTTGCTTCTTTCTATGCCTTCATAAAGGGATGCATGCCTGGCTAGCTAGATAATTTCAAAAAATTATTAGAACCTTCAAATTAGAATGCTTCATCTATGACAAAGTGTTTGGATGACTATTATCTACACAAATGCACAATTGATATGCTTTCTCAATCATGTTTTAAAGTACTTAGTTGAATAGATAAAGAAAAGAGTTTCCATTACAAATGTCAATTCCAACTCGATCTTTGTAGGAAGTAAAATTTTGAATGCACCCAACTGATGTAAAAGTATACACCTTTAAAATTGTCAAGAGAATAGATTTGACCCAAACAAATTAAATGTGAGATATCCTATATTAAAAAAAAATTACTATCTTGTAAAAATGTAGCCAAATTTCTTTTACTATAAACATGATGAGTATAAGCTACTCACCAAGTTAAGTTCATAACAGCTAATTACTTAATTTAAAGGATCAATGAAATAAATCTCTAATGAAGGTAAATTATTTTGTAGTAGAAGTCATAAATTATATAATTTTTTTGTTGTATAATTCAATATCTTTAACCAAATTAATTAAAGTTTAAAACATCACAAAAAAATTTTAAAAATCTTCATAAACCAATTTTAATTTTGATGAGTTCACGTGTTTTATAACTGTGTATAAAATTTAACATTAATAATGCATAAACTAAAAAGTATAAAGTTTTTCAATATAGTATTAAATTTTGTATATACATACATATATATATATATTAATTTGCATATGAAAAAAATTAATGCATACCTAAAATCAACAGTAACTTGTAAGACTTGTAAAATTAGAAAGGTAACTGCTACATCTACCCATTATGGTTAAAGGGTGTTTTGAAAATTAGGAGTAGATGATGCGATTTTTTTATGTTAAAAAAATACTATCGGTTTGTTTTTAAGAAGTGTAGACAACATTTCTGATCATTTAGAAATGATTATATTTTGAATGTGTGTGTCGGTTTAAAGTTTTATGTAGATTATGAAAAATATTGATTTTTACTACCATATCATTTCATCTCATTTAATTTGTACGTCAACATGCAGGGTGAGAATGTCTCCCAATTTACTCCTACTGATTAGGTTCA